AATTTTTAAAAAATCGGAGGCAGGCGGATCTCAGTGAGTTCAAGGCCAGCCTGGTCTACATAGTGAGTTCCAGGACAGCTGGGGCTACAGGGAGACCCTGTCTGAAAAAGATCAAAGGAAAAAAAATCCTAAAAGCTGTCAAAACATAAATTCAAAACTTATTATTCTGCAGATTTTGTTTAAAAGAAAATGGGTTAAATATGTGAAGCTTTTTCCAGTCTAGGACAGCTACTCCCAAGGTTCTAAGAACTGCGAATTATAAGGAAGAGAAAGAGAGGACTAAAGGCAAGGTATCACCCCAGGTTAGCACGACAGCCTGCATCCTAGCACTCAGAAGACAGAGGCAGGAGGAACAGCAGCTCTAGGGCAGCCTGGACTACAAAGTAAAACACTGCTTCAAAAGAAGGGAGAAAAGAAAGGAAGGAGGGAGAAAAAGAAGAAGAAAAATAAAGAAAAAGGGAAACAAATGTTACCCAAACGATGTCCCTATTCAAGTTATATACATATGCCTGGCAGAAGCAGTGGGCCACAGGGGCCTCTGTGGAAATGTGCAATTTTCTCCAACAAACAACTGTCAAAACCTCAATCCCCTTTCTTAGGAAGTTAGCTTTGGGAGGTTCTTCGAAGACCACCCAATCTAGAACTCATACTGAAAACCTGAGGAAACTTGACTTAGAAAAGGGACAAAGCTTACTATACCCACTCTGAAAGCCAAGACCTCAAGCTCCCAGTCCAACCTTCACTGACTACCTCACGATTCCATTTTCCACCTTCTATCCTAGTCATTCATTCAACACTCAGCTACTGATCATAGTCATGTGCCAAGCACTCACTTCTCAGTGCTTGTGCCACAGGGGTGAACAGCACCAAGACCTCAGCTCATCCAGCCTCCACATATTCCTTCTACTACCCAAAGCCTGGGACATAAAGGTGTGGACAGGAAAGGACATGGTCTGCATTCTCTATTCTTTTATGCTTAATGTATTTTATATATTTTTTCTATTGCCTATTATTATAATTTAAAAGGCCATAGAAATCATCCATTTAAACTACTGTACAAATGACTTGGAACACAAGGTTATATTGAGGAATTGTAATGACTTTTTTTATTGATAATACTTTTTTCTCAGAGTTTCTATTAAAAGTCTATAAACAAGACTATACAGCCACCATTGTAACCTAAGTTTAAAATATTTTCAGCACCCCCAACATATACTCTCTTATCTATGAGGAGTAACTCTCCATTCCCCTGCCCCTAGCCAACCCCAGAGAACCACTAATCTACTTTGTTTCTTTATAGATTTGCTTCTTCTCTGAATCTCATATAAATAGAATCATACAACATGTGACTTTGTATCTGGCTTCTTTCACTTAGTATGTATAATGTTCTCAAGGTCATATTCTTTTTAATTGTGTGTGTGTGCGTGTATATGAGTGTTATGCTGCATGTATGTAAGTGCACCCGTGTCATGCAATGCCCACAGAGGACAGAAGACGGTGTCAGATCCCCTGGAATTGGAGTTACAGACAGTTGTTAGCTGCCATGTGGATGCTGGGATTCAAACCCTGATCTGCAAAAACAGCCAGTGCTCTTAACCCCTGAGCCATCTCTCCAGCCCCCAAGATCTTATGGTGTAACATATCACAGTATTTGATTCCTTTTTATTGCTAAATAAAATTCCATTGTTATTTATTCTTTTTTTCATCATCTTAAAAGTGTCTACCAAAAAGTACATGTCTTTAGGAGAACTATCTCACAAGACATGAGGTTTAGAAGAAAATAAATCCCACTCCTATTTCCAACTCCTCTGTGCAGTATTTTCAAATAATCACCACTCTGTACCTGACCAGATCCATCCCCAGTAAGGCTTCCACCTCAGAAGCTGGCTCTCTGGCGTTGATGGCTTCATTGGCAATGCATACTCCATGTTCATTGGCTCCCATTTCTGCCCCCCAAAGCCAAGCTGGTCTGCTTATCACTATGGCGTGGGTCCTGGGAACTTGGTCAATTGAAATATAAGTGCACTAAAAAAGGAAGACAAGAAAGAAAGCACCATCAATTGTCAGAAACATCTTACCTTCCACTCTGGAATCTACACTAAACTTCACACAGTTATAAACAACCGAGGTGTACAAGGCCTGAAATGCCCACAGTGCACCCAGGGGTTTCTGTGGTGAGTGTTGTTCCTTTTAGATCAAGCCAGACTTACACAGTGTTTCCTCACACACAATCATCTTCAGCCCGGTAGGTATCCAGCCAACCACTGCACTGACATTCTTAGTCTGCTCATTGAAAGTCTCACATGGCCATCAGCATTTGACATGAACACAGCTATTTTTCCTCCTGGGCAAAAATCTGGCTACATCAGTGGTCAAATGTTTTAGAAGTTATAGAGCTCTAGCTTCAAATGAATCTTTACCCAGAAGCCTGACATAGAAAGACGGTAAGAGGATGCTTTGCCTCAGACAAAAGAAAATAGGTCTTCAGAGTCCACTGTGGTTTTGGGACCATTTGACAACTGACATGATCTCAGCAGTTGTAGAAATGAGGAAGCAAACATGATATTGACATTGCACTGTTGTGAGGAATGCTTTTTCACACTTTTTCCTGCCTAGCCATTGGATTCTCACTCTAAGCCAATGAAACAAACAACACAAAACCGTTCCAGGGAGCTGTGCTTCTAACTGCTATCAGGACCACAGTGCATGCCACTAGACTGGTATGTTGTGCCTTCTCAAGGAGCTGGGGCTTAAGCGGGAACACAAGGGTGCTAATTTAGGTCAAACTACTTCCAAGGTATTTTTAACCTCAGAACCCTTCCTTCAGGGGCTGGGGAGGTAGTTGGCAGACTACTTGCCTACCATATAGGAAGTCCTGAGTTTGATTCCTAGCACTTCATAAACAATGCATGGTGGTACACATCTGTGATCCCAGAATTTGGGATGTGGAGACAGGAGGATCAGAAATTGAAAGCCGGCCTTAGTTATGTAGTAAGTTCAAGGCCAGCCTGGGTTATGTGAGGTCCTGTTTCAATAAGTAAATAAATAAATAAACAAAATGAAAACAAGAACCCCTCCTTCATACAAACTGTTACATAGAAGCAAAAAAATAATAAAGCTGATCAAACAAAAGTAGGAAGGAGCATGGGACCGTAGAGAGGACAACCTCTGGGTGTGAAAAACCACTCAGATCATCACCTGCTCAGTCTTCTTTCCTCCAGCCCATAATGTCCCTCCCACCCAAGGGACTAGACTGGAACGTTTAGATGATCTGTGGGTTTCATGACTGCCTTTCTGTGAGCCTGCAACACACTCCTTCTGGACACTGCAGCTGGCTGAAGCTGCCATCCACATTTCAAACTGAGGCTGAACACACTGGATTTGCCAGCAGTCTGAGGGACTTTCTCTTTTCTAATTCAAGGCTTCTGAGACTGAAGTGAATGCAGCCCAGTCAGCCATTCCGCATTGATTCTCAGTCATCTCAGCTCCTTTAAGAGCTCAAACTCAGGCAGCATTCAGTGGCTTCAGCCTCTGCACAGTTCAGGTCAAGTGTTTCCCAGCATTGAAGTAGTATTTTATCTGGTACATATTTGGAAGCTGAAAGCTAATTAATACCAGAGGTTGTCCAAAAAACATTGAGGGTTTTTTTTTCAGGGCGGGGCGACTTGACCATAAAATATACTTTTGAAATGTTTCCCCCATTTACTTGCTGAAAATAATTTTTTTATAAAATGATTCTTAGCCGGGTGTGGTGGTGCTCGCTTTAATCCCAGCACTAGGGAGGCAGAGTTCAATGGATCTCTGTGAGTTAAAGGCCAGCCTAGTCTACATAGCAAGTTCTAGGCCAGCCAAGAACAACACAGTGAGACCCCGTCTCAAAACACACAAACAAAAAGATTCTTACAGAACAAAAATCTAGGCAAAGCAGTGCTCATAGCTATACTCCTTGAAGTTTCCATCTTTGAATCGCACCCACCCCACATGTGAAACACACAGTTCAGCAGCATCACTATGGTTTGGATGTGGAAAGTCCCCTAAAGTCTTGTGTTAAAGGCTTGGTCCCCATGGTGGTGCCACAGGAAGGTGGTAGAACTAACACCACAAGGGTGTCAGTTTAGGGTCCATTCCCAGCTCCAGAAGCCCAATAGACTAGGCTCAGCTGCCTGTCCAAATACACTGATTAAAAAGATGCAAAATGATGAAAGACAGAGGAAGGAGAATTGATCAATGGCAGAAAGAGGAACAGATACAGAAGTCCAACGACCCCAAGTTCATCTTCAGGGTACAGGTATGTGCTTTAGGTTTAAATAGAGGGAGAACTGGGGCCTACAGGCAAGGAATGTGTGCAAAGTCAGTGTAGTTGATTTGATCACTATCTCAGCTCTGATTCTGCAAAATGACCTGAGGAAGACTTACAGTTTCTGGGACAAACTGGCTCTCAGGAACCCATCACTTCTGTTCCAGGCCTCAGCCTCACCTGCATCCAGAGAATGGTCTGTCCTGTGAGGCTCTACTGCTCCAGGAACTTAGGATAACTGCAGGTTTGGGAAAATGAGTGGTCTCTGTGCCTTCATCCATTAAAGGACATAAGACAGGCTAAAAAGGAAAAACTAAGAGGATATGAGAGGGAAAGAAACCAGACCCTGAGATTTAGTCTGCCTTTCCTACTGACTTTGGCATAACTGGTAAAGCCAGAACTGCCTACTTTCTCTTCCAAAGACATCTCAAAAAAGGATGTTAACTAAAACCAACAAACTGTGCTTACTCAAGCCCAGAATACTTGTAATCTTGAGCTCCACTGTGCCAGTACTCCTTTCTCATCCCTAAATCCCATGCACCTCATAAAATCACCTTGCAATTTCATTTACAAAAGGAAATTCTTGATGAGAAAAGTATATTTCAATTTATATATTTTTCTTACTTTTAAAATTTTACTTAAATTTTAAGCTTTGTGTAATCTTTAAACCTTCCTTGTACATTATATCCTTTGAGAAATATAACTCAGAAAACCTCAGATTTTTTTTTTTTTTTTTTTTTTTTTTGGTCTTTTTGAGACAGGGTCTCCCTGTAGCCCCAGCTGTCCTGGAACTCACTCACTATGTAGACCAGGCTGGCCTTGAACGCACAGAGATCTGCCTTCTTCTGCTGCCTCCCGAGTGCTGGGATTAGAGGCGTGTGCCACCACGCCCAGCTTAGAATCTTTAAAAAAAAAATTATTGAATTTTTGTACATTTTATATAATGTCTTGATCATATTTAGATCCCCTCCCCTATCTGCACTCTCTCATAGACCCCCCCCCAGGTTTCATGCATTCTGTCATATATGTCAAGGCCTAACAAGTCAAGTCTGTGTTCCCAACTATCCGTTAGTGTAAGTCTATCCACTGGAGCTTGGTCAACCTACTTAGCATCACTCCATTAAAGAAGACTAACTCTCCCTCATCCAGCATTGATCAATTGTCAATAGTTCCTCAGCTAGGGTTAGAACCATTTCCCCAGTTCTATGCTGGGTTTTTGCCTGGTTTGAGTTGGCATTGGTCTTGTGCATGCTGTCATCACTGCAGTAAGTTCATATGAGCAAGTTCCCAGTCTCCTGGAAAACTCTCTTTCCTTGTGGTCCTTCACCACTCTGGGCTCTGACAGTCTCTCCATCCTCTCTTCCACAATGGTCCCTGAGTCCTGGGTAACAAGAGGTTTAATGTAAGGAGTCCTATCCAGGGACCATACACTCTGCAGTTTCTTATTCTCTACATTTTGGCCAGTTGTGGTTTTCTGTGTTAATCACTTTCTGTTGCATGAGGAAACTTTGCTGGTGAGAGTTGAGATATACATTAATATTCTCTCTGCCCCCATTTCCCTATGTTCCCCATGAGCCTTAGGTGTAGAGATTGCATTGTAGATGTGTCACTTAGGGCTGGGCATCTCACAGACACTTATTCTCTGCATTTGACCAGTTGTGGAACTCAATAGTCTCCATCTGTTGTAAAAAGAAGCTTCTTTGATAAGTGGTGAGAGGTGCACTTGTCTGTAAATATAAGGATATATATTTAGCATACAGTAAGAAATTACAGTTGTCTAGGGGTGTGTCCTATGTAGATTTTTCTCTAGGATCTATGACCCTTGAGCCATGTGCATTTGACTATGTTTACAGTACCACACACGAGTTCCCTCCCATTGAGTGGGCCTTAAGTCCAATTAGATAGCTGTTAATTACCCCCAAAATAAAAGTGCCACTACTGTACCAACAGCAATACATTGGGTTGGACCATTTCGGGCTGGTCATTATTGTGGTTATTAAGTTTTACAGCTGAGTTGGACCATTGATTGGTTTGCTCCCTTAGCAGTTTGCATAGCCTCTCAAACTATGAAAGCTAGTCTTCAGGGAGGAAGCTTCCAGGTCAGTCCTAGTTCCATTGCTCCAAGACTTGTGTCCAAAGTATGTCCTGTCTTCAGCAATGGGGTCTTACCTTGAAGTTATAGGAGGCAATCAAGGGCTTTAGCAATAACCTGTGTTAGTTGGGGAGTCTCTTGGACTACCCTGATCAACAACTGGAAAAGAGGTTTTTTCTATCTCAGGATTTTATTGTATACAGCCATATAAAGACACAGAAATTCAGCTCTCCAAGGAACCCCACACCTATCTCTGGGATTGTGTACTGAGCTTTTCCTATATATCATCCCTGTCTAAATACCTATTAAACTCACTAATTTTGCTTCACCCTGGCTTCATCCCCAAATTCTTTTCTGTGGTATAAAGACCCAGCTTTACCTGAGTGGAGTTCCTTACAAGAGAAGAAACTGTGTTGGGCTGGTTTTCTCCACTGCCACTGACAGGCATGCCTTGGGCAGTTAAAACACCAACACAGAACCAAACATGAATCTGACCCAAAGACAGAAAAATAAAAACAAAGGTGCTAGGCTTTTCTCCTGCATTCAGTTACTGATAGGATCAAATAAAGAGTTAAAGTGTTATAGCAAAAGCTTCTAAGTGCCTACTATCGAATCTTTAAGAGGTGAGACCTGGTG